AACAATAATAACGAATCAGTCAATATAGGCCATGTTTTAGGTTAGATTAAAAGAAAAAAAAAAAAGTTTGAAAATTAATAGCTTATTAAGTCTAAGTATTAATTATTTAGTGCTATGGTGAAGACTAAAGTGAATATAAATATCTAAATGACTGTTTGAAACAGAAAGTAGTGCCGCTGCTTTGTTTACAGGGTTACCGGGGTCCCGCCTTCTCATCTGTGCTATTTAAATTAAATCGTCACCTTTTTAAAGTTCAATAATCATATGAGGCTGTATCGCTGTTTTCCCATAAATAAATTGAAGAAATTAATACATTTGTTATAGGCTACCGTGTAAGTTAGGATGTTTAATAAATTTTATTCGCACTCATTCTCCTAAATACATTTTCCAGTTCGCACACGTCTATTTTTAGTCGCAAATGCGAGTGAAATGCTTGCACTGTCAAGCCCTGGCAAATTCAAATCTGCTTAGTTTGAAAGTGACATCTGTGTGACTGGTGCTTCAAGCAACAAAAAAAGGTCCATTGTCAGTAGTGTCACAGTGCACGAAATTTTCCACTGAAATTTTGCCTGTGTGACTGCGCCTTAATACTATGACTAAGGTCCTACATGGTATACTTGATTTGGATTTGTTGTCTTGTGGCCTCCACTTATGTGCATCTGTGAAGTCTATGAGACCGCAGAGTGTCCCATTTGTAGCTTTAGGTTTCAAAAAGCTTATTTATGCATGTAAAAATCCATAAACACATTTTAGCACTTTAGCACTTCTGGTTCTATTGTCCCACAATTAACCCACATTTTTTGATGGGTATTTGGTTAAGTGTAAAACAGTAAAACCACTTGTAACTTTTTAAAAGCTTGTTCTTGTTTTAAAAAAAAGGGGCTAAATGAGACTACAGAGATCGTCTGGGACATTAATGGCACAATATGTAATTTTTCGCCGCTAGAGGGCGCGTACTCAAAATAAACAAAGAGGCAAAGGCGTAGTTTGATGATATGTCATCACTGCAGCATTTGCTAAGCGCCATTGATGCACTTTATTTTAAGGTGTCCTTGTTACAGAGTAATTATTACGGTGGCCGAGAGAGCTCAACGCGCTGCAACTTAAGAAAACACATGCAAATTGAAAAAACACCAGCAAATTAAGAAAACATCTTCATCAGTTTGACAACACACGCGCTGCAAATCCTCACAACACATGCAAACGAAGAAACGCGCTGCAAATCCTCACAACACATGCAAACGAAGAAACGCGCTGCAAATCCTCACAACACATGCAAACGAAGAAACGCGCTGCAAATCCTCACAACACATGCAAACGAAGAAACGCGCTGCAAATCCTCACAACACATGCAAACGAAGAAACGCGCTGCAAATCCTCACAACACATGCAAACGAAGAAACGCGCTGCAAATCCTCACAACACATGCAAACGAAGAAACGCGCTGCAAATCCTCACAACACATGCAAACGAAGAAACGCGCTGCAAATCCTCACAACACATGCAAACGAAGAAACGCGCTGCAAATCCTCACAACACATGCAAACGAAGAAACGCGCTGCAAATCCTCACAACACATGCAAACGAAGAAACGCGCTGCAAATCCTCACAACACATGCAAACGAAGAAACGCGCTGCAAATCCTCACAACACATGCAAACGAAGAAACGCGCTGCAAATCCTCACAACACATGCAAACGAAGAAACGCGCTGCAAATCCTCACAACACATGCAAACGAAGAAACGCGCTGCAAATCCTCACAACACATGCAAACGAAGAAACGCGCTGCAAATCCTCACAACACATGCAAACGAAGAAACGCGCTGCAAATCCTCACAACACATGCAAACGAAGAAACGCGCTGCAAATCCTCACAACACATGCAAACGAAGAAACGCGCTGCAAATCCTCACAACACATGCAAACGAAGAAACGCGCTGCAAATCCTCACAACACATGCAAACGAAGAAACGCGCTGCAAATCCTCACAACACATGCAAATGAAGAAACGCGCTGCAAATAGCACGGACCACAACGGAAATGTTTCTAGGGGACCCAAAAAAGTGACGGACCCGGCTGGGATTTGTTTTTTTGTTTTTTTTATATATAATGCTTTATTATCAACAAGTAGCATGTACAGTGCCATATCTCACTATATAACAAAAACATTTCACATGCCTCAACAAGAAGGAACACAGAAAAAGAAAAGGAAAAAAAAATACAATAAAAAAGAGGGTACATAAACATCAGTTTACAGATAAATACATATTATACATATATTTACATTTCCATAGGATATTACAATGCAAATTTTAATACAGAAAATATACTTTGCAGGTCAGCACCATTATTTATTATTATTATTGTTTTTTTTTATACATTATGTGAAAATGTTAAAGGAGGAGCATATATTAATCGTTTTAATTGCTTTACTATTTTTAGATTTTGACATCACATCTACAAACATTTTAATCTCTTTTCCAAGCACCGTAAAAAGAGGTTTGCCTTTTGTAAACTTGCATTTATGAATGTGAAATTTACATAAAAATAAAATAAAATTTATTATAAAACCAACATCCTTTAAAGAGCGATCCTTGATATAATAACCCAAAATCACATGTTTATAAGATAAGGAAAATGTTTTTAAAATATTATCAGCAATGAAACCCTCCACATTATTCCAAAAATGCTGGGTATATCGGCAGGACCAAAACAAATGAGAAATTGTTTCAGTGGAGCATTCACAAAAAGAGCATTTTAAACCTACATCAATTTTAAATTTTTGTAGGAATTCTTTTGTTGGATAAACTCTATGAATTAATTTATATGAGATTTCCTTAACCTTATTTGTAAGGAGGAATTTTTGAGGTAACGACCAAACTTGAGTCCAATTTACATTATTAAAGATATTGTTCCAGTAGAAAATAACATAAGGCGTAGAAATATTCTCTTTTAAAAACAAGGAGCTAATTTTATAGTTGTTAGGCTTTAACCCCGAGAAACAGATAGAGCCGACTAAGGTATGTTCAGGTCTAGGAGGACAGACAGAAAGTGCGGATGTACATATACTGCTTTTGAACAGCATATGTACACCTGCAGGAATGGCCCTAGTAAGCACCTT